AAGCAAAGTGGCGAGGTGGCTGGAAGAGAGGTCGTGGTGGTGGACACTCCTGGATGGTGGAAATTCTTCCCAGCGTCATTTATCCCTGAGGTTTTGAAGTCTGAGATTTTAGAAGGGGTGTCTCTGTGCTCGCCATCACCAAATGTCATTCTGCTGGTGGTGCCATTTGACACATCATTTACTGATGAACAAAAAAGAGTCACAGAGGACAACATGAAGTTATTCGGACAGAGAGTGTGGAGACATGTAATATTGCTGTTTACATTTGGCGATGCTTTGGGAAACAAAACTATAGAGCAACACATTGAAAGTGAAGGAAAGCCTCTCCGTGGGCTGATTGAGAAATGTGGAAAGAGGTATCATGTCCTTGACAACATGAGCAAAGCTGGTGATCAGGTAACAGAGCTGCTGGAGAAGATGGAGGAGATGGTGGCAGGAAACTGTTGTTTTTACTTCAGTGAAAGAGATGATCCACAACCTGAAGAGAAAAGTGATGAACCAACTAAAATCAAGGACGAGAGCACAGCCAAAGAGATCACAGAAAAACTTAACAATGAATGGGATCGCAGGAACTGGGAAGAACACCAAACATTAAAAGGAGACGACAGTATGCTTTCACGGCCAAACTGTAAGCATCCGGAGGCACTGACACAACAGTAAAAAAAAAAAAAAAANAAACCATTGAGGATTACATCAGTAAAGAAGGGGCACCGCTCCAGTCGCTGCTGGAGGCCTGTGGTAACAGGTATCATGTTCTCTGTGATGATGGGACAGACAACAGCACGAACATCAGACAGCTGTTTGAGAAGATTGACACCATGGTGGCAGAAAACAGTTGTTATGAAATCGAGAGCAGGCTGATACAAACTGTTGAAGAGAGGACGAAGGAAGTCGACAAACAAGCTGAGGAGCTGCGTCTGCAGACACAACAACAAAGGCAAAGGCTCAGAAGGCTCCTGATTGGTCAGTTGAATTTGTTTTCATAAATGTTGTTAAAAGGAAAATTCTTTAGTCTTATTTTTGTAGTTTCGGCATCATTCCTGTTGGTCATAATAACATTGTAGTGGCATTAAGGCTGAGCGATCCGACGATCTCATATTGTGGACGATGATTTTCTTTCAGATGAATCTTACAGATCGCATTATTAGAAAGGAGCTATATTTAGATATTTAAATCTAAAAGTTCAATTGCTGCAAACACTTTACAGAAGTGATATAATCTCAAAGATTTATTTACAAGTTTTCAGACCTTTCAACCATATCTCAGTCTAGTCACAGTCCTTAATTAGACCTTTTGTTTTCTTATAAACTTTTTAAAAAATTACAAAAATCGAGTTGTAATAACCAAGAATTGTCCTTTAAATTAACCAGATTTAACTGTTTTCTTACACAGAGCCAAAACCCAGCCTGAGAATCTTGATGGTCGGGTGGGTGTTTTCTGGGAAGAGTGCCGCTGGCAACACGATTTTAAGAAGTGAAGTTTTTCACTTTGGTGAGAGAACGATGAAAGCTTTAAAGCAAAGTGGCGAGGTGGCTGGAAGAGAGGTCGTGGTGGTGGACACTCCTGGATGGTGGAAATTCTTCCCAGCATCATTTATCCCTGAGGTTTTTAAGACTGAGATTTTAAAAGGGGTGTCTCTGTGCTCGCCATCCCTAAATGTTATTCTGCTGGTGGTATCACTTGATTCATCATTTACTGATGAACAAAAAAGAGTCACAGAGGACAACATGAAGTTATTCGGACAGAGAGTGTGGAGACATGTAATAGTGCTGTTTACATTTGGCGATGCTTTGGGAAACAAAACTATAGAGCAACACATTGAAAGTGAAGGAAAGCCTCTCCGTGGGCTGATTGACAAATGTGGAAAGAGGTATCATGTCCTTGACAACATGAGCAAAGCTGGTGATCAGGTAACAGAGCTGCTGGAGAAGATGGAGGAGATGGTGGCAGGAAACTATTCTTTTTACTTCAGTGAAACAGATGATCTACAACAAGAAGAGAAAAGTGATGAACCAACTAAAAACAAAGATGAGAGCACAGCCAAAGAGATCACAGAACAACTTAACAATGAATGGGATCGCAAGAACTGGGAAGAACACCAAACGTTAAAAGGAGACGACAGTATGCCTTTACGAACAAACTGTAAGCATCCAGAGGCACTGACACAGCAGTAAAAAAAACACTTCAGTTTATTCCTACAGCATCTTAAATTTGTTTTACCCTTAGTATAACCAACATGATTATTGTATTTTCTAACCAGTTAGTGAAGACACACAGAGGCTTGAAGATTTTGAAGGAGAGGAAGAAGACAAACTACAAAGTGAAGATGATGCAGGATCTGACTTTCTGAAGATGAAGGAATTGATGGAGAAAGAGTGGATCAGACGAGAGGCAGCAGTGGAACATCTCCACATGTTCTTTGCAAGTGAGTTAATCAAATATCTAAAATAAAAGAAAATAAATTCTGTCTTGTTCAGTTTTGTATCATTTTAACATTTTATTTTCTGCCACAGGTGAGAGAGCCACCTCTGAACCAGATGCTGATAAGCTGCAGGAATCAAGAGAAAAAGTCCTATCATGGCAGAAAACCATCAGAACTTCAGGCTATGGGTCAGTCTCTGCCACCAGCAGGGAAGCAGAGGAAGAGACTGAACAAGAAGTACTTCCATGTTAAAACCATGTTTGTAATGTGAAAGAACACCAAGTCATTTACTGCACTTCATTCAACCAAAGTGTTTGGTGCACACAGGGCTGTCATCAGGAAGCTTTACACTTCTGTTCAAATCATTTAAATACAAACTACAACACATTGTAGAGGGAAATTATTCTGCACTGATGATTTGTAGCTGGTTAGGCTGTAAAGACGCTGCTCTCAGAGTCGGACAATATTAACAAAATATTAGATTGTATTTGTAAAATGATACACTCCTGTATTACTGATGGAGTAACTAGCTACATATGACAGCATTTAACCAGCATTTTACCCATACACCTCGTTTCCAGTTCAACCAGTGAAAACCATTTCTGTTTGAAACATTGTCATGACCATGTTGAAGAAAGAAACTGGGAACAAGATGACAGTGTGCGGATATTTTCCATATCTTTTAGTGCAGATTATTGTTACCTGGCCAGCACCTGCAAGTGATTTATAGTTGTGGTTGTGGCTGATGATTGTCTTGCTAAAGTGAAAGCATCTTATGAACTAGTACAAAGATGCTCCAGCAAAAACAACCCTTAATACTATGGCCTCAGTTTACTATTATGTTTGTTTGTGTTGGAGGCCAAATCAAAAACAGATACATGTGTTTTTAAGTGTAATACAGGAGGATCATGGATATAAAGGATCGTATAACTACATTTTATTACCTATGTTATTTTATGATATACTGTTGTTGACCCCAGACAGTGAATAAATATGGTCTGGGTGGAGATGTATGTGTATTTGTACAGTTAAAACTCCAGGACCTGCCCTGTTGGCTGAAGCTGGGGCAAATGACGCCAATGATGGATGAAGATAATCTGAAATACCTGTCATACTGTACATTGTTTCTACTGCAGACAACAGCAGTTTGACGTGTGTCACTTTGTCTCAGGATGATTTCGTGACAGCAGTGAGATTATCTGTACAGACAAGCACTGATATGATCACTGCTATGAGGAAGAAATATTTGGGTTTTTCATGAGAATCTTTGTGACAAAAATATTGAAGATGCAGATTTTATTTTCACTTTTGGAAAGATTGTTTTTAGAACAGAAGAAAGTCATTTTTGGAAGTATAATCAAAAGCTTACAATGACATAATCTGATTAATGTGACAAATTAAAATCCAGACTAAAATAAAATAAAAAAAGTAATCTTGCATCTCTAAATAAAAAGACTGAAATATGGTTTGCTTTAGCATCACATAAAGGAAAAGCTTCAGAGATAAGATTAAACACATTCACTGAATTTTTTGTTTTATACTGTTAAATGATTTTCTATACCATATGACTATTTTCATTAAAGAATAAAGTCTTAATAATAAAAAATATCTATTTTTATGCTGCTATTTATGATCTTGTGAATCTGTACTTCACTGTATGAAGAATGAAGTGAGATCTACTCCATTTACCCAGGAAATGCAGGATTTTTATCATGTGTGCACTGTTGTATTCTATGTGCTGAAATAAAGATGCCTTTATCAATCCTCATCAAGTCCTGCTTTGATCAATTTGATCCAGCTTTATTATTACAGCATTTCAAAGGTGGAGCATTGTTTTCCTGTTCCTTTGCGATACTAAAATAAAAGCTTACAGTTCAGCTGTGTGGCAAAAAAAATATGCCAAGACCGTGTTCCAACTTTGTCACAAACAGTGCCGGGACCCAAATGCAGACATGGTAGAAGAAGGGAAGGATGAGGTGAAGTCTTTTTATTTTGAAAGGAGCAGGTGAGTGGTGGTGAGCTGTTGCAGGCTTGGCAGATTAGTTTACAGCGATTCCTGGAGACAGAAAGAACTAAATGTTGAAGTTGCAGGTAAAAGCCAAATAATGACCAGCTTGATAACTATGACTGAGCTGGAAGTGAGGCACATAAATCGAGCTTGATAGCCAATGTCTGGCAGAGGGAGGAAGGGAGGGAGGACAGACAGACAGACTTCACAGAAGGGTGGTGACACTAAAGGGACTTTTACACCTGACCGCTTTGGTTTAAACAAACTGTTGTCTACATATATACATACTGTGAATTCACCCAATCACCGAGCCACATGTTGCTGATGAGGCTGTAAATTCTGAAATTACTATGAATTTAAGCAGCTACAACATCAAATTGTTAGAAAAACTGTTTCATTACAGGAAACAAAAGCAACAACACAGGTTCCATGAAAACAACAGGTGTGACTTTCTGGCACAACCTGGAACATGGAAATCTAGATGACAAGTTTTATCAATGATCTGATCTCTTGCATGAAAATATGCTGTTGGTCCTGTGACTGACAGAGGAGGGAGTGGGTATGATGAAAAACAAACACAATGTGAGAGCTACATTCAGTGTTGAGCTCACACAGTCAACAACAAGACGGAGGGAATGAAACCCATGAAGCAGCCTAATTAGTTAATTTCCCTCTTCAGAAAACATGAAGAAAGCTGCATCTGCCAAAGGTGAGTTAATGTAAATGAGAAATGATTTATCAACAGGCTGTAAATATATTTTTCCTTCATGTTACCATCTCTGTCTCACTCTCTGTCAGAGCTGAATGTGCTGATTGTGGGATCACAAGGCTCACATAAAGATCTCGTTGGAAACATCATCCTGGGAAGAAACGCGTTTGATGCCGTAGATGCAACATTCAACTGTGAGAAGAGAGAGGGAGAAGTGTGTGAGCGAAGAGTCACGTTGGTCCAAACCCCTGGATGGCTGCGAGGATATCAGCTGTGTGATACAGCAGGACTTTTGAAGACAGAGACGATTCTCAGCGTCACTCTGTGTCCACCTGGACTGCATGGTTTTCTGCTGGCGATTAATGCTCAGCTTCCATTCACAGATGTCTACAAGAAGGTGACAAAGGAGCATTTGGAGTATTGTTTTGGTGAGAAGGTGTGGGATCACACTGCAGTGGTCTTCAGCCACAGAGGCCATATAGACCATGAAACCATTGAGGATTACATCAGTAAAGAAGGGGCATCGCTCCAGTCGCTGCTGGAGGCCTGTGGTAACAGGTATCATGTTCTCTGTGATGATGGGACAGACAACAGCACGAACATCAGACAGCTGTTTGAGAAGATTGACACCATGGTGGCAGAAAACAGTTGTTATGAAATCGAGAGCAGGCTGATACAAACTGTTGAAGAGAGGACGAAGGAAGTCGACAAAAAAGCTGAGGAGCTGCGTCTGCAGACACAACAACAAAGGCAAAGGCTCAGAAGGCTCCTGAGTGGTCAGTTGAATTTGTTTTCATAAATGTTGTTAAAAGGAAATTCTTTAGTCTTATTTTTGTAGTTTTGGCATCATTCCTGTTGGTCATAATAACATTGTAGTGGCAATAAAACAGCAGCCACATTGTTAACAAATCTATTTGGAAAAATCAAAGGCAAACAGTAAATTATCACCCAAATGTCTGTTGTAAACATCCATCACACTTTACAAGAATGATTTAATCTCAAAAGGTCCACTTTTTCAGAGCTTTCAACCACATTTCAGTCCATTAGCAGACCTGTTGAGCTTAGATTGATTTATTATATATATATTTTTTTTAAATTACAAAAATCATACTCAGTAAGAATTGTCCTTTAAATTAACCAGATTTAACTGTTTTCTTACACAGAGTCAAAACCCAGCCTGAGAATCTTGATGGTCGGGTGGGTGTTTTCTGGGAAGAGTGCCGCTGGCAATAGGATTTTAAGAAGTGAAGTTTTTCACCTTGGTGAGAGAACGATGAAAGCTTTAAAGCAAAGTGGCGAGGTGGCTGGAAGAGAGGTCGTGGTGGTGGACACTCCTGGATGGTGGAAATTCTTCCCAGCGTCATTTATCCCTGAGGTTGTGAAGTCTGAGATTTTAAAAGGGGTGTCTCTGTGCTCGCCATCACCAAATGTCATTCTGCTGGTGGTGCCGCCTGACACATCATTTACTGATGAACAAAAAAGAGTCACAGAGGACAACATGAAGTTATTCGGACAGAGAGTGTGGAGACATGTAATAGTGCTGTTCACATCTGGGGACACTTTGGGAAACAAAACTATAGAGCAACACATTGAAAGTGAAGGAAAGCCTCTCCGTGGCCTGATTGAGAAATGTGGAAAGAGGTATCATGTCCTTGACAACACGAGCAAAGCTGGTGATCAGGTAACAGAGCTGCTGGAGAAGATGGAAGAGATGGTGGCAGGAAACTGTTCTTTGCACCTCAGTGAAGCAGATGATCCACAACAAGAAGAGAAAAGTGATGAACCAACTAAAAACAAAGATGAGAGCACAGCCAAAGAGATCACAGAACAACTTAACATCAAATGGGATCGCAAGAACTGGGAAGAAGACCGTATGTTAAAAGGAGACGACAGTATGCCTTTACGAATGAACTGTAAGCATCCGGAGGCACTGACACAACAGTATTTGTATTGGACCATAATTAGAATTAAATAGAAGAAACTTTATTGTCCATCTGGACTGAATGCATCTCAAATCATCAACATCACACAAAAATACTATATTTGTAGAATTTTCCATTATTGAAATTTCCTGGCATGGGGACATTTTTGGGCTGTTTGCTTTAGGTTGGCCCACAACAGTGGGGCCAGACCTATAATGTCCATGGTCCAGCCATATACAAGGTCTAACCTCGTCAGACTGATGATGATTTGACTAATTTGAAAGCTTCATCACTGTACTCAGACCATCACACAGTAATAGCGCTTGGCAGGCTGTAAACTTTTAACTTTCCTAGTTCTTAAATTGAAAATCGTAATAACTTATCTACACCTGTTTTTTTTCTACTATGACAAATCAAAATGTATGCAGTGGGAAAGATCAGTATTGAAACAAAACTAGTAGAAATGAAGTTAACTTGGTAGCCTACTGAAATAAGTTTTTCATCAGTGGTTTATGTGACATTCCCCTCTCGTATACCCAGTCTAGTTCTACGCAGCCCTTTACCTGGACAAAGCTGCATTAAACTGATCGAAACAAAACGCCATGCTTTAGAATATTTTCCAGAAATATCTTCAGTAGGTTTCATCCTTTGAATAGCTAACATGATTATTGTATTTTCTAACCAGTTAGTGAAGACAAGCAGAGGCTCAAAGATGTCAAAGGAGAGGAAGAAGACAAACGACAAAGTCAGGATGATGCAGGATCCGTCTCTCTGAACATGAAGGAATTGTTGGAGAGAGAGTGGATCAGACAAGAGGCATCAATAGAACATTACTACAAGCTCTTTGCAGGTGAATAAACCGAATATCCAAAGTAAGTAACTTCTGTCTTGTTCAGTTTTGTATTGTTTTTTCATTTTATTTTCTGCCACAGGTAAGACAGCCATCTCTGAACCAGATACTGATTAGCTGCGGAAATCAATTCTATTGTGACAGAAAACCTGCGCAACTTCAGGCTATGAGTCAACCTCTGCCACCAGCGGGGAAGCAGAGGAAGAGAATGAACGAGACGAAGTACTTTAATGTACAAACCATCTGTTTGTAATGTGAAAGATAACTAATTTAATGCACTTTATATTCAAGCATGTTTAGTAAATTTAGCGCGTTCCAGTGAAAACCATTCCTGTTTGAAACATTGATACGTCCATGTTGCACAAAGGAACTGGGAACAAGTAGGCAGAGTGTGGGTATTTTTCTTTTCGTCTTTTAGAGCAGATTATTGTTACCTGGCCAGCACCTGCAAGTGATTTATAGTTGTGGTTGTGCCTTCTGATTGCCTTACTAAACTGAAAGCATCTTATGAACTAGTACTATGGCCTTGGTTTCCCACCTTGTTTATTTGCGTTGGAGGTCAAATTGCAAGTGTAATATAAAAGGATAATATAACCACATTTTTATTACCTGTACTATTTTATAATATACTGTTAACCCTAGACAATGAATAAATATGGTTTGGGTGGAGATGTATGTATATTTGTATAGTTAAAACTCCAGGACCTGCCCTGTGCTGGCTGAAGCAAATGGCGCCAATTGACGATGATGATAATCTGAAATACCTGTCATACTGTACATTGTTTCTACTCCAGACAACAGCAGTTTGACGTGTGTCACTTTGTCCCAGGATGATTTCTTGACAGCAGTGAGATTATATGTACAGACGAGCACTGATATGATCACTGCTATGAGGAAGAAATATTTGGGTTTTTCATGAGAATCTTCATGACAAAGATATTGAAGATGCAGATTTTATTTTCACTTTTGGAAAGATTGTTTTTAGAACAGAAGAAAGTCATTTTGCTTTGTTCACCTGAAATATAGTTTTGGTCTATTATCAATGACAAAAAAAAAGGATACTTAAGCACTGTTTTGTTTATTTAAACCAGCTTTTTTCTGATTATTACCTGCTCTGCTTTGTCTCAGTAAAAGCTTCACAGATAAGATTACTCCATTAATAAGTTCACATTTTGTTCTGTTGGAATGATTTTTCTGTACAATATGACTTATCATTTGAAGCATTAAGTCCGTTAAGAAGTAATTAAGAAAATGTGGTATTAGAGGCTGTTTTTTATACTAGACTATTTATAACTTGTGACTGTACTGATAGATGAGCCAGTATATAGGCCGCATGTTGAGGTGGAGGCTGTGTACTGGTATTTGACATGATGCCGTTGGCTGAATCTGGAGAAGTGAGATCTACTTATTTTCCCCGGAAATACAAGTGCAAGAACTCCTTTATATTGTTGCCTAGTTGCATAGTTGAATTGGTACGCAGATATTAACGATTGCCCTCCTCTAATCCTTATTAAAGCAATCAACACAAATACTTGCAATCCATTAATGATGTATTACAACCTTTGAATATGGCTTGTTATTAATACTCAACTAAATGCTGAATAAATTATAGCAGGTGGAGCATTTTTTCAGTTTCTCAATTAGCAAAGCTGAAACTTTCGGCTGAGTGACAAAAATCAGAGGTAAAGCCTCGCGTTTTAACAAATAAAGATGCTTTCACACTTTTAAACAAACTCTGCTGTGTTTCCTCATTTAAGATTGGTTCATTTAGTCTGGGTAAAAGCTGTTAATCACGAACACTGCTACGTGGAACTAGAGTCGAGACTGTAGGCGGCCCCAAGCATGTGGGTCTTGGTCGATTGCCAAGAATACAGGACTAATATTAAATCCGTCATCTGGCCACAAACTGTCAGAAAAGACTGTCAACTCTGTGAACTGACGCGAGTTCCATGCCCGCAGCATTTTGCTGCGTAGTGCGGATTTATTTATCTCTCTGTCCGTCTACAGAAAGCGACAATGAAACAGGTAGAAACAGGACGAGAAGAGGCCTCGCTGTAACCCGATAAACTGAAGCCAGGGCTTGGCATACAGCCAATACAGCAAAAACAGTTTGATTTGTCTTTTGTTCTTCTTGCTTCAAGCTTGGTGTGAATGATTCACTGCTATATTATTCCGCCCTTGTCAAGATAGAGCAGTAGACTAAAACATGACAGCTGGCGCGCAACGATATACTTATAAACTATTTTCGCTACACGTTGACAGCTCATGTAAGCCATAAACGAAGTAGCATGGTTGAACATACGTAGATGGAGAGTGCTAGAGGCTCCCAACACAGTAGTAGTAGCTCCCTATGACAGGACACAGGAAATCGCAGTTATTTAATTAATCAGACCCGCCTGCCAGTAGAATAGTAGTCAACAACGCAGGCTGTCGCACACCATATCTGCTCCGTGCGTGTTTGTGTCAACGCACATTGCATCCAAGGCCTGGATAATTCTTGCAGAGGCTGCTGGCTAGCACCAGTGTTTACTCCCGCTATAGATTCATTGGAGCAAAGATCGCGGCTAGAATAAGTTGGAGTGGAAGCACACGATGCAATCAGCAGTGTGAGGTGTGCCTTTCAAAAACACACGGATTCGGTCGGGTCAAACTTTACTTCATAGGATCGGGCATCTGAGGTGATAGCTATAGAGCCAGTGGAACACCTCTGGACTCCTGGGCATCACCAAAGTCCAACCACTGCTCGGTTGTACACAATACTCTCTCAGTCAGACTGTAAGAAGATGTCCAAGTCCATGAGAGAGTGCAGTACTCTTCGCAGGATGATATTATAGCAGAGATAGGGTGCATATGAAATGGCTAGATACGCGTGAGGCAGATCGTCAGAGTACACGAAGAGCCGGGAATGGTGGATACTTGACATCTCCTGACGAGGCCCTTGACCGGTATATCAGTCAGGAAGAGGGGGGCGAGGCTAGAGCTGGATAGGAAGCCATGAGAGTTTATCCAAGCAGGAACGGTGAGGGATGGAGATGCACGGTTTTATCAGAATGAACTGTCTTAATGCGCGAGAGCGCTTATAGCATACCTAACATGGTCTGTATTCACACATAGGCACAGACATCGATACACTGAGACACGTAAACACCACACACGGTAGTGATGGAGTGCCTGATAGCACAGCACGGTGAACATCAGTTTGATACCACGATGTATCGCTTAACCGTGTTTAACCATTTTAAATGGATCCTTAAACATCCTGGTCCTCTGTCATGGCAAATCGCGCAAATAAAGAGTACAAACAGCTGGGTTTATAAAAAAAAAAAAAAAAAGAAGAAGAAAGAAAGAAGAGTGGCAAAGCGCGGTAAGACAAAGAAGGGCAAAAGGTAACAAAGAGAACAGAAGCAGAGCACGCAGAGTTGATAATGGTATTCGCACAGATATGAACACCTGTTCCCGCCTCTCGTGCTCATGTATAAAGCATCTGATAATCGGTCACACTACAGCACTCTGCCTTTTGACTGTGTTGCTCATTAACGCCGCTTTGTCCTGGTGCTCTTTGTTCCTCGTTATGTTATCTGTAGCACAAATGCACACGGTCCACATCATGAAGGAGAACCTCGACCCCCGGCGCTTAAAGGGAAGAAAGCATAATGCTGGTGCTGTCACAGGTACCCAAATTAATTTTTTAACAGTTTCTACGTGGAAGGAAAGGCAGCAGGAGAGTCCTGCTGATTGTTGCATCAACATCGCGATTTTAGTGTTTAAGAGGAAAATAATAGATGTATTACTTTCACAAGGTTCTAGGAAAGTCAATGGGGGTACTATGACCTCGGTCCGCGAAACGAGTTGCTGAATCCTCTATAGAGCTTCGTCAATGTAGTGAGAAGAAACTATTTCTTGGATGTCACTAGTGGATATCTAGGAAATAAAAGTCAATGCAGTGCTTTATTGTGCCTATAAAGCCTGGAGCTCTCCCTGGCTGCAAATCGCAGCAGTTACAAATCTACAAACTTTGATAAAAAAAAATATTTTAAAAAGTCCAAACAGACAAACCAGTGTAACAAAACATACTTTGGGGGAGAAGTTTATGACTCATGAGTTGCTGGAGTGCATTTTAGGGAATGAATATAAATCATCACAGCTGAAATTCTGTTTTCATGGAAGCTAAACCTAGCGGCTCTCCAATGAAGTAGAACAATTGCAGCGACAAAACAGATCAGTGGTGGACAAGTGAGGAGATTAATATTCCTCAAATGCATACATGACCCAAATATAAATGGAATCATTCAGTCTGATTTTGTGCTACATTTTGCATGAAAACCTTCTAGGGTGAGAAGCGTCAGTGCTCACAAAAGAAGTTTGAAAGATATAAAAAGTGAAATGTGGATAAGTGCAGTTGAAACACACTTTGAACACCGTTACATCCCACCTCCCCCACCTCAAACTCTGTACGCTCACTGACATGAAAAGATCAGAAAAACAAACATCAACAGTAAAACACGGCGAAGAAACGAGCACACCCGCATTCACACACGCACCGATAACACATCGCTGTGAAACTATTGTGAAAACACATTACTGTTATGCCATCCAGGGATTTTTAGATTGGTGAAAGTCAATGTCATTGTGTGTGAATTGCATACACAGGTGAAATTGGAACTACAAGAGTGGATCACAGAACATGGATTGAACATTAAAACTGAGGCCAAATAGTAGTGTGAGAAAAAGAAAAATTTCAAGGCACACTCAAGTCCTGCGTATTTTTTTTTTATTTATTTTTTTTTAGAAAGCTTAAATATTGCAGTGACACTCCAGTGCCTCTCAGAAGCGGTCATGTGGAACCCCACTGTTGTATGTGTTTCCCGGCAAAAGCTTAATCAAGATCAGTCTGAAAGAAGCGCTTTTCTTTCTTTGTTGTGGCCCTTGACTCCCACATAGTAAGACTTTTTAAATTACTTTTTCCAAGGCACACTACACTTCCTCTCTTTGTTGATGGGATCCTCGT